CAGGTGCAGGGCCTGGCTCTGCCCCTTGTCCCAGGCTGATGCCCACAGTATGGTTGGGCAAGACGTGGAGCACCCAGAGCGCAGGGTCCTGGGGCAGCCTTCTGATCTGAGCCTCCAGCTGTCGCCAGCGACCCGCGAGGCTGGTCCGCACAGCCCCACGCTCTGCCACAAACTTGTGGTACCAGCCAAAGAGGAGGGCGGTGAAATCAAGGAACTCATCCCGGTATCCAGACACAAATTCCATGTCCTCAGGAGCACAGAGCCTGGGCCCACACTGGGCTGAGGAAGGGATAAATAGTGAGGGAGAGATCCTGGTGAGAGTTTAGGGCTGGGTCACAAAATGGAGGCAGGCTGTGTTTGAGGGTCCCTTAGGGTGGAATCTATGGGTGAGTGTTCGGAGTGAGAAAGGAGTTTTCAGGGCTGAGGATGGGTGTTTGGGATAAAAATATAGGCCAGACTTTAAAGTGGGTGATTAGAGTTAAGGATGAGTCGTCAGAAAGGAGATGGTATTTGACGCTGCAAATTTGAGGCTCAAGCCCTCAAAGGTAGGGTTTGAACTGAGGATGGAGGTGAGGAGAGCTAACCCTATGGGAAAGGGTTTGGTGAGGAGGGAAGAGTCCAGTGGGCTGTGGGAGAAGGGTGTAGGAGCCAGGGCATCCCTTGGGCTTGGATAGGCTTGGCGGTGAGCCCCTCCCCGCCGCTCCACTACTCCGGTACCTGTAGCGGCCACCACTTTCAAAGGTAAATACCTCGGGGTGGGACGTGACGTCAGGGTCCCGAGACCCAGGCCCGCTCCCGGTGGCCACGCCCCCGCGTGTCTCGCGCGGGCCCCGGCCAGTGTCTGCGCAGCGGGGCGCGCGGACTTGCCTGCAGCGATCACCCCAGCCGTGTGACTGACCCCGGCGAGGAAAGGGAGAGCCTCTCAGGGAGGAGGTCCAGCCAACTGACCTGCGGAGGGCGGGCGGAGCTGGCATCCCCGCGCCGAGCCAGATAAGCCCAAGGGACTGTCTTTCGCTTTCCTTCTCCGTCTTCCCACGTTCCTGGCCGCCCCCTCGACGAGGCTCGGGCCTGGGCGCGGGGGCGCAGACGGAGGAGCTCCGCCTCCCGGAGTTTCCCGGCCGCCGGAGGCCCGCGATCACGCGGCTTCGACAGTACTGACCGCACTGTCCGTTCGAGACGGTGGGAGCCCCGGCAGGGAGGCGCAGCCGCCTCGCGCCCCGCCTCTGCCGGGCCTCCGGCGCTGACGGCCGGCCGTAGTCTCCCCCACGGAGTCTCCGGCGGAGCGGGAGAAGGAAGCGAAAGCCCTTGAGAAACGGCCTGGACGTCAGGCTCTGGAGCCCGTCTGGGAATCAGAGAGGGAGAGGCGGCCCCGAGATGCTGTTAGGCTGGGAACCCCGGTCCCTCTTGTTGCTGACTCTCCTGATAGCTTGGCTGACTCCGCAAGGTTCGTCTGGGGCCCGGCTTGTGCCCAGATTCCTGAGTCCGGGGAAGGGGATGGGAGGCCCTTGGGCCGCGGGGTTGAGTTGAATAAATAGGGAGCCAGGGTCCCCAAGGCAGCCGGGGTCGGGAGAGAGCCAGCTGTCTAGGGTGGGGACAGGCCTGGGAATACCTGAGCCCAGGTGTGATTCTGGACGTATTTGCAAGTGTGATGTTCAGGTTGAGCTCGGGGATTGGATCCTGGGGTCTAAGGGAGAGGCTGCAGTGGAGCTGTGGGTTGGAGGCTAAATAACAGCTTGTGTGATCCCCTAAACCTGGGAAACCTCTCTGACTACCTTGATCCTTCTCAGCTGATAGCAACGAGGGCAGCATCGTTGGAAGTTGTCCCTGTAATAGAAGATTTTCTTCCCACTCCCCTCCAAACGGCCGATACATGGGACAACTGCAAAAGCGCCTGAAAGCCTATCAGCACTGTAATTCCTACGTCAGGTAATCTCACCTGGGAGGGCAGCGCCCCGGGGTGCCTGGAGGACCATCTGTGGTCAAACTTCAACTCCTTCTGGGAGGACCTGTAGTCCCCTCTTGGGGGTAGGTTTGCCCTGATTCCCTGTCCTACCTCCCTGGGATTTCCCAGCCCCAGCAGAAAATGCTGAATCTTGACCGTGACTGCACAGCTTTGGAATGAGGAAAGACCTGTGAAAGGAGTGGGTGGTGTGTGTGGAGAAGGAACTGCTACTGAGACCGGGTTCTTCCTCACAGGTTCCAGCTACCCTTGGGAAGTGTGTGTGGGGGCAGCAGTGACCGGTGGGTCCAGGAACTGATGCACTGCTTTGATCGCAGAGGTAAGAGCTTCCCCGCTCCTCCCCAGGCTCTGGCTCCAGGGCTCAGCCGCCTCCACCTTACAATTTTCTTTGCTTCAGCCCTTTTCCCTTTGATACCTCACATTCCTTTTCTGATGGACTTTCACTTTAGTCCCTGTTTACCAGAAATCATTCACCACCACTTTCATAAGTTTTGCCAGTTCATCCTATCACTTGTGCTATAATTTCCCTAATGTTTCTCTTGAAATCAAGGCACTATTTTTATTTGCCAATATTGTATTATGGAAATTCAAAGACATATACTAAAGTTGAAAGATTTGTACAGTGAACATCCCTATACCCACCACTGAGATTCTACAACATTTGATTTTTATATTACATACGTACCTAATAAAGCAAATGTGTTTTATATTTTACAATATCAAGTTTATAGCATTTTAAATATATCTGCTTTATTGCACACCTATCTGCCTAGGCATCACTCTGTTCCTCATCAATCTTTATATTTTTGGTACATTTCCAAGTAAGTTGCAGGTTTGACACTACTTTATCCCCAGACATTTCATCAGGAGAGTTCTTTTTATTGTTCCTTTTTTCTTTTTGAGGTAAAATTTGCAAACAATGAAACAAATAAATCTTAAGTGTACATAGACACTTTTGAAAAACTTCATGGCAATTTGTCCCAAGCAAGGACATCTGTGAAGTCCCAAATTTGATATGTTGATTGTATTTTTCTCCTAAAATAAATACACAACCATGAAGACACGAAGTGTTCTTCCAGGTCCCAGCTAAAGTTGTCTTCTGTAGCATTGGTGGTATTCATAGTGCCTTTTGGCTGTGAAGACCTACAAGATTTCACTTAGTCTTTCTAACTACCTTGGTATTAAAATGACTCCTACTTTACAGCTGAAGAAAATGAATCCCAGAGAGGTCACAGCTACTTTGTAGCAGAGCTGGGGTTCCAATCTAGCTCTCCTGACATCTCAGTTCAGAATGCATGCTCGCCCCGGTGCTTCCATGCTGTGATTTGCTCATCTCCCTCTCCCCATGTCTGCCCTCTGCCCCTGCCCCCTTACCTGGCCTTTAGCTATTCCCTTGATGTTCTCCTTGACCCAGTACCCTTCCCTCTAGTTATTTCTTCATCTTGTCCCCTCATATCCCTGATCCATCCCTTCTTGTCTTTTCAGAATGTGGACTTGCTCACACCAGCAGTATGGCCCTCCAGAGGCATTTACCTTCCCGCAGCACCCAGGTTCCTGACCCCACAGAAAGGGCACCTTCAGACACCAGCACCCCTACCCAGATGTACCTGCCAGACACCCTGCAGTCTACCCAGCCATCCACCCTTCCAGCAGGCTTGCTGTCCTCAGACCAAAAGCTCATCCTCACCAACCAAACCACCATGTCGTCTGTGGGCCACAGTCTGGGGGTTAAGCCTGAGGTCAGGGAGAACCAGAAGCAGGGAAGCAAGCTGGAAGAAAATGTGGGCCCTGCAGCTGGGACATCAGCCATGGTGCCGGTGCTGTCCCTCTTGGCCATTGTTTTCGTCCTGACAGGAGTCCTCCTTTATGTGGTGTGCAAGAGGAGGCGGGAGCGCTCGCCACAGCACTTTCCAGGTAAACTGGGCCTCTGAACGCCTCCTCTAGGGACCCAGAGCCTCTCTGGCCAGGATCATGCCCCCCGACCCCCACCACCTGTAGCTCTCAGGCAGACAAATATTGAGGTTCTCTGCACCATGGACTATAAGCCAGGGGGAAGACTCAGGCAGGCTACAGAGGAGTCTGATGGCCACCTGACCACCCCCCAACCGCCCCCTGCCCTGTCCCAAGTCTTTCTTCACACCACACCAGCTGTTCCTCCTGGGGAGGGAGAGAAGCCACCACGGGCTCAGGGTCCAGTGGTTGGCCTTCAAAGCCAGGCAGTGCTTGGAGCCCAGAGCAGGGTAGTGGAAGATGAAGCTGAGGAGGAAAGTAGGAGCCATTCATTCAATTCACAGATCTTTACTGAGCACCTACTGTGTACCTGGTCATATAGTTAACATATTGTAATGATTCCCCAGTTCAAGTTATCAGCCCTGCCCTCCCTTCACCCAACTTCCTGTGGTCTCAAGCTGATCTCTCAATTTCTTGATCTTTTCCAGACTTGCAGCTTCATTATGTACCTGTGGCAGGACAGTCCAATGCTTGAGTAAGAGTGTAACCTTCTTGAGAGCCAATTATGATTTATCATCAAATGCATTTAATATACTGGAATAATTACGGGCACGTAGTCACTCTCTAAATATGTAATACGCAAATAACCAGCCACTGCCCTCTTAGATCTTCCCTCTGTTCATTTTTTTTTCTCTACAATGCATAGTTGCTTTTTATATAAGATATCTTGGGCAAATTCTGTTTGTAGGTTTTTTTAACTACTAAAACTTATTTTTCTAATGATTGACTCTTCTTTCTGCAGACATTGGTCTCATGCCCTTGTCCCTTTACCATGATTCCTGGCTTCAGCTTCTCTGTTGATGGCCATCTGATGCCCCTCCCTGCACCCCACCCCACCCCAAGTCTCTCTTCACACCACACCAGCTGTTCCTCCCCCACCTCAGCCCTCTCCCGCTTCTTCCCCTGACCCCACAGTGAGGACCTGGACTTTCCCACCCCTTCCTCATCAGCAGCTGCCATACAGCCTGGTTTTACTTCCCCAGTCCCTTACATCACCCATATATGCCCCAGTGAGAGTCTGAGCTCCTGGTTTTTAGTGTTATTGTTTTTTATTATTAAAACACTTAGTTCTTCTTTTGTCTTTTCCAGTGGAGAAGAATGTGTCTTCACTGCCCCAAGTCATGAGGAAGTGGGTTGAGTGTCTGAGTCTCCACCTCCCATTTGAGCCCCTCAGCACTTGGTCAAGTGCACGGCAGGAGAACCCTGCTGGAGGAGCCTGGGCGCAGCGGTGGGCGGGCTTGGTCTTTAAGCTTCTCCATTCCCACCTTTTGGCCCCTTGTCCTCTAGCCTCTGACCAGCAGGGCCTGTAGGGGGCATGCTCTCCAGGTTCTGTCCCGGGTGCAGGTGGTGGTCTGCCTCCAAGCTCTCATTCCACCTGCTTGGCCTAGTTTTCCAGCATCTGTTCACAGGTTCGGGCCACCTCACTAAGCTTGAGACGAGCATAGTCCACGCGCTTCAGGGCCATCTGACAGTCCTTCCTGGAAGAGTAGCTGGAACCCTCATGGGGCTGCCCTGTGGCCACCTACAGGACATTTAGATTGATCAATGAAGAACCCCTTCCCTTTCGCATTTCCCCAACCAAGCATCAGGTCTCCTGTCTTGTTTCCCTTGAGTTTGAACTTCTTACACCACCTGGTAGCTGGATTACCTACTACGGCACTTAACTTCTGTTAACCTCATCTGTGAAGTTGGGGGTGGGAGCAGTAACTACTACCTAGAGTTGTTGTAAGATTGTATAACACAGGGTGTCTGGCGCATTGTAAAAGTTTAGTAAATGGTGGTTGCTGCTGTAATGATGTCAGGGCCCTTTCAATCCTGTTCTCAAGACAGTCATCTGGGGCGCCAGACCCTTGAGGTCAGCTCATGTTTCTAAGGGCAAGTCCTGTGGCTTTGGTATTGTCTACATGTTCTCTCCCAGGACTTCCCCATCCAGTGGCTCATGTGATGCGACTCAGTGACATACACAGGGACGCCTTTAATTCTTTCCTTTTAGGGGAAGAAATCAGCCCTGGAAGGGAGGGATCATCCAGCCCGCTGGTGAAAGCTCTGCCCAGGACTTCTGAAAGCTAAGGTTAAGGCGGAGTGCTGAGGTGGATGCGTAGCACGTCCCACCACACACACACCTGAGTGAGATAGCGGATCTGAGCCGACAGCTCCGCCTCCACGTGCTGCACCGACGCGGTGAAGGCCGCTGCCTGTCGGTCTAGGAGCCGCTCGTTGGTTTTTTCTTTGGAAAGTTCCAAGATCACTGTACCTGCCGGGGTGGAGAGAGGGCGGGGCTATCCGGTGACTGCCAGTGTAGCCCCGCCACAGGGCCAGCCCCTCCCAATCCTGCACACACTGCGTGCACTTAGGATCCCTCCCAACCCGGAGCCCAGTCTCCGGTCGGCGCATGTGCACGCGGTCGGTCTTGCTCTTGCTCTCGCTCTCGCTCCCGCACCCTTTCCAGTAGTATCCTGAACCTGCATTCTGAAGAATGGCTCCGATTTCCCGCTCGATGTCTTCCAAGGCGCGTAGTCGCTCGTTCGCCAGGCTGTAGGTAGCCATTGTCACCCTGGGAATCCGCGGGATTTTCGCCTTTTGCGAAACGAGACGGGAAGGTGCCCGGAAGCGGTTGACGGTTTGCGCCCGCGCAGAGGGCGCCTATGGGCTAACACTACACTTCCCAGGATGCTCAGCGCGGCCTCGCCTAGCCCTGCTCTCCTGGTAAACTACAACTCCCAGAGTCTCCTGCGCGTGGCCAGGTCTGCGCCAAGCGCCGCGTGACCACCTCGGGTAAGAGGCAGTACCGAAATACTCCCTAGGCTGAGGCGGTTCAGAGCTGTCTTCATGACCGTCTTGTAGTCTATATTTAATTCGTTCTACGATAATTTATTGAGCGTCTGCTGGGTGCTAGTTGATGATGGCGGGAGCCCCGGGGTGTTTCAGCCTGGACAGCCATGGACACCCATGGACCCTCTGTTTGCTTATCCCACTCCGCCACCTATCGGGGCCTGGGGAAAGCTTGATTTGATGAGTGTTACATTGTTCGCCCTAGCGCTTCCCCTCGACAGGAACCCAGCTGAAACAGACGCTCAGAAGCCAGCTCCTTTCAGCGCTTATTGATCGCCTATTATGTGGGTACAAAGGTGAAGGAGGTGCACTCTCACGTGACGATGGAATAGATGTTTTGTTAGAGATACACCCAGGGTGTATCTCTAGGAACACGGAGAAAGCATTGTGGGAGGAAATGCTGCTTGAACTGAATCTTAAGGGTTAACCAGGTGGATAAGAGGTTAGTGTGGAAACGGGAGAGACGCAGACAAGCTCGTGGTGCCGTGACGGGGGCTGGCATATTGGAAGTCCAGCCAGGGGTTCGTTGGCTGGAGAGAGTGTGGAGTGTGGCGGTGGATAGTTGTGCGTGGCCAGACCAGGAAGAGGCTTGCAAGCTAAGGAATTTGGACTTTATTTGAAGGCATTTGGGAGCCTTTGTAGGATTTTCAAGAAGTGTGTTCTGACCAGCTTTACCTTTTAGGAAGGATCAATCTTGACAGTTTATGAAAGATTGAGAATGAAGCCAGTTTGTACAGTGTTAGCAAACGAGCAGACTTTCAGTTACACTTGAGGGATCTAGAGTTTAATTTCACTCCTTTCCCAAATCCTAATCAAATAACAAGGAGATTTTATAAAGGGGTCAAGGAGAAAGAGAGGAGTTAATAGCAAAACTCTAAATAGAAACTGGAAGACAGAAGGGTATGTGGTAACTGATTCAGCAGTGAAGTGGTAACTAAGCCAGTAGTGAAGAAAGCTTAGAAGCAACTTGATTTACCCTGAAATCAGTGGCATCCCAGTACAACTGGGCTGTAGGTGATATTAGAATTAGGAAGATTATTTGAAGCAGTTAGACACCACCACTGTCCCCTCGGCAGTCACCTCATTTACTCCATAGATCTTAGCAGATTCTCACCCCCAGCTCGTCAGATTACTGAGGTCATCGTTGTTGTTGTTGTTGGAGATGGAAAACAGAATCTCTGGCATGGAGGGCACCTGGGCGTGATTGTAATGAGAACAGAGATTAAGTGAAAGTTGATTTTACTGAGTGGTGGTTTCTAGAACTCTGGCAGGCAGGTCAGAGACTGGAAGACTCTTATCTAGGAAATTTGACTCTTCAGAGAAAAGACCAGGGGTTCTTCAACAAAGCAGCTAGCCAGGTCACCCCATAGTGAAATACACAGTTGTTAAGTCCCAGCTGTGTCCGTAGATCTTCTAGTCAACTTCTTAGTACCTCATCCTTAAATATGAGCAGACAGAAGAGAAAGGATTTCTAGATATTTGAAGAAATTTTCTAAGATGAAAGGCAGAGAGCAAAATAAACAGGGAAAGAAAAAATCCACACACACACCCCTTAGATAGTGTAGAGTAAAACTTAAGGGGAAAAAAAAGAACCTATTGATGCTCTTGGGTAAGAGATGCCAAAATAAAGGATTGAACTCAAGGAAACACACTTGAGAAATAAAACCATGAGGGAAGGAATGAGAACTAGGCAAAAGGGTGGGAAGAGAAACTGAGGCACTCTCCCAGCAAGTAAAGCAAAAGAAAGAAGATGGCGTATAAGAAGGAAAAGGTAAGAAAATTAGAGAATCAGCCCAGGGGGGTTAAATTCTGTAAGAAGAGAACAGAGAAAACAAAGGGGAAGAAAGGACTTGCGCTTCCAGAAGAAAAGAGCTCATTCAGTGCCCTGCATCAAGGCACGTCATAAACTGTCAGAACACTAGGCTCAAAGAAAAAGGTCTTGCAGAAGCTTCCAGAGAGAAAACAGACCACATGCTATGGATCAGCAATCAGAAGGGCGCTGGGCCTCCGAACAGGAACACTCCACAGAGAAGACGGTGGAGCAGGGCCTGCAACATTTTAGGGGAAAGTGATCTCCAATCTGGAATTCTCGACTCCAGCTGTGCTAGGGTGAAGGCTGAAAATGCCGTGACTCAACAAAATAGAACTTTTTTTTTTTCTCAGAAAACAGTTCCATGTGCTCCACAAATCACACAGAGACCAAGGCCAGCAGTGCGGCTCTGCCATCCTTTAGGGTCTGATGCTCAGAAGTACAGTGTGCAGGCCAGCAGCATTGGCATCACCTAGATGCTTATTAGAAATGCAGAACCTCATACCTGCATCCCAGTGTTCATAGCAGCGTTATATACAATAGACAAGACATGGAAACAACGTAAATGTCCATTGACAGATGACCAAATAAAGAAACTGTGGTGTGTTTATACAATGGAATACTTCTCAACCATAAAAAGAATAAGATAATGCCATTTGCAGCAACATGGATGGATCTGGAGCTCGTCATTCTAAGTGAAGTAAGCCAGAAAGAGAAAGAAAAATACCATATGCTATCACTCATATGTGGAAAAAAAAGAAAAATGAAGACACTAACGAACTTACCTACAAAATAGAAACAGACTCACAGTAAACAAACTTATGGTTATGGGGCGAGGGAAAGGAGGTGGAAAGGGGTAAATTGGAAGTTCGAGGTTTGCAAATATTAGCTACTATATATAAAATAGATAAACAACAAGTTTCTTCTGTAGAGTGCGAGGAACTATATTCAATATCTTGTAATAACCTATAATGAAAAAGAATATGAAAAGGAATATATGTGTGTGTATGTGTATGACTGAAACATTATGCTGTGCACCAGAAATGGATACGCTGTAGAGTGACTGTGCTTCAATTAAAAAAAAAAAAGAAATGCAGAATTTCAGGCCCCACCATAGACCTACTTTACTGTGTTTAAAGATCTCCGGTGATCTGCAAGCCCAGTAAACTTTGAGAAACACTGCTTGGGGGCATTGCTGTCTGCAGTGTCAGAACTGGATTGCTGCCCTCCCTGGGTTGCAGCTGGCAGGAAGGCAGAATGTAGACAGGAGGCACCCCAGTCTCAGAGGTCTGGCCAGGGAGTGGTCCATGTAATTTCTACTCACGTGTTTTTGAAGAAAACTCAGTCACGTGGTCTTCCCCAGCTCTGGGGTTCTGGGAAGTCCAGTCCTGACCCAGGCGGCCCGTTCTTGTTTCAGCACCATAGCAGAAGGGATTTTAGAGGATATCTGGACTCTCACAACAACCAACTATTAATAACAAAGAAAGAATGAGGGCATCTTGATATGTACAAGATCTCAAATTTCTCTTCCCAGTACCTTTCTTAGGAGGTTATTAGAGTTGGACCCAAGTTAGAAGGCTCCTGGAGAGATTTCTTCAAGGAGGTGGAAGAGATAACATCTGTTTTCTTCTGAATGAATCAAGAGGATGTATAGACTTTTGGAGGAGAGTATAGGGCGGAATTAGTGATAAATTTGGAGAATAAGCAAAATTTTAAAATGACAGTTGTTCAGGGAAAACAGTTGTGCAGGAAGAGAAAGATAATCGTAATATACCACGTGATGCAGCCATGGATAACATTTGCAATAAGTGCTGAGCACTCACTTAACCTTGACTGATGGAATTCTCTTGGGAGCGTGGGACGTGGGGACAGGATGGAGAATGTCCCACAGTAGGGGCTGGGGGGCAAAAGGGAGCTCAGGCTTCACCTTCCATGGCGGGAAGACGATGCTTTAAACAAAGATCAAGAAGTAGCAGAAATAAGCTTGTTAGAGACATGGAGGTAAATACCCAAAGAAATATCCGGAGGAGGTGAAGCAGTTGCCTTAAGGAGAAGGAAATTGGAGAGGAAAGGGGTTTACTTTTTATTGTAATAGGCCATGTAGTCCTGCCTGACTCCTTAAAAAATGTGCATCTATAACTTTGAAAATAAAAACACAGAAAGTGGGAGAAGAAATGGAGGCATACTTTACTGTGAAAGAGCCCTGAGCGTGGAGGAATGTTTTCTCTTTTGCTTCTTTCCTTTATCTCTTCTTCCCTCCCTCCCTTCCTCTCTCCTTCCTTTAATGGAAGAGACTTGTGTGGGTTTATTTACCATGGAGGAAGAACCAGCAGAGAGAGGCAGAGGTTGAAGACCCGGGGGCGGTTCGATGAATGAAAGTCTCAGAGGGGGTGGGAGGGGAGCGATCTGAGCACAGGTGGAGGGATTAGCTTGGAACCAGAGGAGGCATCCTAGCCTGGGCCGTGTAGGAGAAACGGTGTCGATGTCAGTGCTTGTCGGTAGGAGGTGGGAATTGAAATCATTCATCCCTCGCAGCCTCATCTCTGGAAAATGGGAGAAGCATCCTGAACGTGAGGAAGGTTTGGAAAATTAGTGGGTAGGATGGGACCAGGAGAAGGAAGCGACCAGGCACTTGGAGAGGGACCAGAGTTTATCGGATATCGAGGGCCCAGCTGAGATGAGGTTAAAGACCATAGGTTTGTAGTGGCCCAGATCCATTCCCAGCGCCTAGCACTGTGTGGGCACCTAGGATGTGTTAAAAAAAAAACTTGTTAAATGAACGAGTGAAGATGGTTATGTGACTTTCCTCTGGCAGTCCTCAGCAGCCCTGTGGGGAAGCTGAGAAGGGCGGGGTGGCGGTTGGGCAGAGCCAAGGGTGGGGTTTGAGAGCCAGTATTGTGATAGGAGGGCTGGTTGAGGGTGCCAAGGAGATACGGGTTGGATATAATGATCTTGAAGTTTAGTCTGGAAAGAAA